GATAACATAGAGTAGTTTAAAAGGATTTATTATTAGTTTGAGGCTATTAATATTTACATAGAGGAGTAGGAGACACAATGATAAGCCTGAATGACTAAACACTTTGTGACTTTTATATGTAGTTTATGCATTTTTGGTATGTTTTAATCCCTAGGAAAAGTTTGAAAGGTTGAAAAATCCAAATTAATACAACTTAGAAGGATCTGCTTTGTAGGTCACCATTGTTTCAAATAGTGCCTGTAAATAATTGAGAAGTGATTTAAAGCTAACATGTACTTGTTTTAAATTTACCCCATTTTAGTCAAGATACTGTCCTCAGAGATTAAGTGGTGAGTCATCAACTTTCAAGTAGATGCTTGTTTTATACTCTCTGCTGTAAGGGTAATGCTGTTGCTGTGTGTGTGATGTTGTAGTGGGGTTGTAAACCACTTCATATTGTGGTAATAAATGTGTTAAGCTAAGTTATCATATTGGGATGGAGAGAGAGGGCTCAGTACTTGTTCTTGCAGAGGCCTCAGATTCTGCCCCCAGCATTTGTAACTCTAGTTCTAGGAGATCTGACACACTCTTCTGACCTCAAGGGGCACCAGGCATTCATATGGTGCATATACATGTATGCAGGCAAAACAGTCATAACATAAAAAATAAATACATTTAAGGAAAATATCAAAGCAAATCTATCATGACTAGTCTCTTAAATTCTCAGTTTTTTGATAGGTGTAAGCTTAGTTTAGAACTATAAACCTTTTACATTGCTTCTGTTTCTGAGAATTAAAGGTGGTCTCTTTTAGACAAGTGGTGGTGATGGCTCACACCTTAATCCCAGCACTCAGGAGCAGAGACAGGTGGATCAGTGTCAGTTGGAGACCAGTGTGAATTCCAGGACAGTTAAGTTAGGGCTACACAGAGAACCCCTGGCTCAAAAAACAAACAACAACAACAAAAGTGATGTCTTTCATAGTATGGTGCACAGTTTAGTATGTGAACCTCTTTGCTGAATTCTGAAAATGTATGTCTCTGTCTCCAATGTGATGAGTTTATTTCTGTGACATACCTGGAGTTGTGAGGTCCACTAAATGACTTCAAAGGGAGAAAGAAGGGTAGGTGTTCTAAGATGGTGAGTGTGGTTGATGCATACCAGGTAGCATTCCTTGTTTGCTTATTACATGCCTATGATTGTGTTGAATGTTTTCCCATGTGCATTGGCTTCTTTATTCTTCTAAGCAGCTATATGAAATGTATTCTTTTTTCATTTTGTGGATGAGGAAGTTGAGGAGGAGAGATAACTAACTGAGGAATACACTGCTAATGAGTATTAGAGCCAGTTTGCATTTCTGGCTCTGTGGCTACAGGATGATAGCACTTAACCCTCATATACTAAGAAGAGTAATTGTCTCATTTATGTTATCCCAGTGGACTGTTTTTATTTCTTGCACTTTTAGATCATCTTGCTAATAACTTAAAGATAAGAAAATAAAGGGATGGCGAAAATGATATTGGAGATGTTAGTAAGGGGTGATGTAGCAAGTGTTAGTGCTTATTCTGTAGTTCTCTGGTTTTGAAAGTATAGGTAGCTCAGGTGGGCAACATGCTTTGAGTGTAAGTAGCTACTCACTATTCATTGTACATGAACCTGTAATATATGTCTCTTGTGAAGATGAGTTCAATAGGAACTGGAGCTATAGTTGCCAAAAAAATCCTGAAAGTATAAGTACAATTTTAGTAGGACTATGTGAATGTGTGTGAATAAAATAGATACAGTAAAATTTATCATTTTAACTATTTTTGATGGGGTTCTGCCAGCATTTAGTATATTCTCTTTGTTGAATCACTGTGTTACTACGAACCATTTCCAGAGCTTTTCATTTTCCCACTTATAATACTTTTAAAAACATTGACAGCTCATGATTTTGTTGAATGGAGGAGAGCCATCATAATTGCCTCAATTGTAAAACATCTTAATTTTAGAATTATAAATACCAATTATAATTGACAAATGGGATTACATGAAATTAAAAAACTTCTGTACAGAAAAAAAGCGTATCTACAGAGTGAACAGACAGCCTGCAGAATGGGAAAAAAATCTTTGCCAGCTATACTTCAGACAGGGTTACTATCTAAAATATATAAAGAACCATAAAAATTAAACACCAGAAACAGCAACCCCCTACTCCCACACACTCACAGTACACAGTGTATACATCATAGACACACACATAAATAAAATAAACGGTTGTTAAGGAAAAAAGCAACCAGTCAATAAATGGGCTACTGAGTTAGTTGAACAGAATTCTTAAAAGGAGAAACACAAATGGTCAATAGCTGTTTTAAAAGGTTTTCAGCATTTTAGCTACCAAGGAAACAACAAACTAGAACTGCTCTGAAGATTCCTCAGGCTCAGTGACTTAGGAGGACAACAAACACTCATGAGAATGTTGGGGAAAGGGAACTCATTCACTCTGTTGACAATAGCAAGGAAATAGAACTAGTCTTACTATTCACCAACAAATGAGTGAACAATGGAAATGTGACCCATACAGTGGAGTTTTATTAAATTGTTTTTTAAAAAAATGAAATTGTGAAATTTGCAAGAAAATGGATGAAACTGGAAAATAGTGCATTAAGTGAGGTCACCCAGGCTCCTAAAGACAAATACCATGTGTTGTTTCTCATATGCTTATCCTATCTTATAATTTTTACAGATGTGTATTTGTGTGAGATTGAATGTGGGTAAAGATCAGGAAGTAGATGGGGAAATGGAGCTTTAAGAAAGGAATGGGGAAGTGATAGAACAGCTGTAGCATGAAAGTGGGAAGGGAATACTGGGGTTGGAATGGTGTCCATTGGGGGAGGGCACATAGAGATGGGGGAAAGGAATGATGGGGTGAGTGGGGTAACCAACCAAAGTCAAGTATGTATGGAAATGCTGAATGTTTCAGTTGTCTTTATTTCATCTAATAGACTTACTGTGTAAGTGGAATTACATGTCCCCACTGCTGTGATTAAAACAAAACAAAACAAACAAACACCCTGGAAAAACAGTTTATGAAAGAAAGGAATTTTATCTTGCAAATCCAGATTGCTCTGTCCATCATCATTTCAAAGAAGTCAGGTTAGGAATTTGAAGCAGGCAGTCCCTTCACATAAACAGATAATAATAACAGAAATGAGTGTATGCCTAGTACTCAGCTAGCTTTCTTCTCTTACGTAGTTTGGGGCCCTGGGGCCCTGAACCAGAGAATGGTATTGTCCAATTTCTGGGTGTGTCTTTTCATATAAATTAAGGCAATCAAGACAGTCAAGATAATTCCCTACAGACCTGCCCATAGGCCAAGCTACTCTAGAGATAAGCTTTTATTAAAACTCTTCTCAACTCAAAGTGATTTGAGGTTATATCAGCTTGGAAGTTAAAACCATCACACTTGACATACCACGTTTTAGGTGTGATTCAGTCCTCCCCTCCACTTTTCTTCTTGTGCTAGGGATTAAACTCAGTGTTTTTTACACACTAAGGCAAACACTCAGTGGCTGGGCTACATTTCTAGCCCTTACATGTTTTCAGGTTCAGCCAAGGTGTAAAATGTATCATTACTTTGTTGCTTTTTATAGCCAAGTAGTACCTCATGATTCTACTATATGAATATATGATAGAATTTGTTTATTCATTGTGTGATGGGCATTTGGACTATTGCCACATTTTGACTATCATGAATACTAGTGTTGTACACATGAATAAAATAAAATAACACATCTTATTTTAAAGACCTGTTTTAAATTTTTGTGGCATATATCTAGGAATAGTAATTTTGTGTTTAAATTTTTGAACAAATGCCAAATTGTTTACAGAACTTCTTGGTTTTTAAGTTTGAAATTTTTTCCTTAGGATAGTTATCTCAAGATTCATAGCCTCATCTGAGGCTTCTCATTTGAGAGTGATTGTGCCCTTCCAAGAGACATTTACCAAAGTTTGGAGACTTTTTTTTTCCCCCCCCCGGTATTGTCACTGTTAGCTATTTCCACTAACATTTCGTGTGTAGAAGTCATAGATACTTCTAAACACTCTGGAATACATTAGACAGCCCCCCACAATACAATTCAGTGTTCTGGGTGTCAGTAGTACCAAAGTTAATGGTCTGATTTTTGACCTGAATTGTATTGTCGTCAGAGATAAGAGTTTCTGATACTTTGCATTAACTTGGGATTCTGCAATAAGAATGAAACTTTTTTTTTCTTCCGTATTTATTCCCTTTCGATTGTCGGTGGGAAATGTAAATTTCTAAATTCTGAAGTGTGTTCAGAGAGGGAAGTAAAGACATAATAGTATTTGTAGCTCATTGTTTTCTTGTGATTTTTGACAAGGTCTTATTGTGTAGCAGGACTGGTGTAAAACTCAGGATCTCCTGTATATTTTTGAAAGATAAGTCAATGCTTTGGGCAAACACAGTAGGAATTAAAGGATGATAATATTGCTATGATTTATTTCCCTCTAGAATTTTGTATAGTTTTTAGCACTTTACATTCTTTATTGTTTTCATCATAGTTGTGAAAATTAAAGGATGAACTAATTACAAGGATCCTGGAGGTCAAGTTTTCAAGATAAAAGAAAAACAACTGGTTATATAATAAAACGATTCTTATTCTTTTTAATATTGTTCTTTGAGGGACCTCAAGGAATACTGAAAGCCATAAAATATCAGTCCTCAAGGTCAATGGCAAAAGTAAAATGATCTCTATGTCCAGTAGCTGTATAAGTAATAAGTAAGTCCATGTTCTCAAGGAATAATTGTTAAAAATCAGTTTTAGAGCTGTCAGTGTAAGAAGAGTGTTTGCCTACCTTACATGAGGTCCCCGGTTCAGTCTCCAGCATTGGGAGAATGTTGCATTCTATTTCATTTGCAGAACTTTGTTTCTTTTAAAGATTCTTTTGGGGGGAGATATAAAATATTCTCATTTTTCAAATAAGTATCTTTCTTTTTTAGGAGAGAGAGAAAAAAGCCACTTGTGAAAAATTATACCTTTGGAATTAATAAGAAATTTATCAAATTCAACTAATTGAAGCCTAACACGAGTTCTAGTTACTGAACAGGTAAGATTTAAGACTGTATTTTAACTTTAACTGTTGTTTTAGGATCTGATAGATGCTGTGTAAATGTATTATTTTTAACAGGCATCGAATTTTGAATATGTGTGATAACCAGATTTTAGGAAGTTGTGTGATTTAGAATATTTATCAATATATTTCATTTCCAAATGTTAGTATTTTTATAAAATGTGTTCATCTTAAGTGTTTTAATTTGTTAAATATCTTTTCTTGTTTGCTGAGACATCTCATTTTGTGAAAAACACAAGTTTGACCTGCCAGATTTTCTTTCCCTCTGCTCCCTACATCGCTCATGTATATTCACAGCATCTGGAGTCTGTAATATCATTAGAAACAGCACAGGGAAAGTAGATAAACTAACACAGCTGGGAATCGATCGACTTTGGCCTAGAGTGAATCTGTGTATATGTATTCTGAAGTGTATGATGCCACCGCCATTGATTCTTTAGTTCTGTAAGCTTGAAATGGTTCAAGAGAATTTGAGAAAATAACTTTAACACTTTAAAATATGCAAGATTGTTTAAAAGGGATTTTACTGAACGACTATTTGAGCTGAGGAACTTGGTGGAGATGTCATTTGAAATTATAATTAGGAAGATAAGTATGGTTGTAAAGATTAGATTTGGTCTGAAATACCAAATTTTCTTGCCTTCTCATTTGTACAGATGAATTTATCTGTTGTGAATCTCACAGACATGTTGTATGAAAGAAAGAAAGTCAGACAAAAAAAAAAAAAGATTTGTAATTCTGTTTTTATACAATTTGAAAGTAGCAGTGCTATTCTGTGCCTTTAGAAGCCTGGATGCCACCTGTGTGGAGTGGTAGAGACTGAAACGGAGCTTCAGAAGTCTTCTTGTGACTTTTTTAATATACTGGACAGTGTCATAAAACTGAGTGCTCACTTTGTGAAATGTCCCCAGCTTTGTCTTTTAGGAAGTTCCGATTGTTAAATATTAGCAGGATTAAGTTGTTAGCAACTGGTTCAGCAAACCTAATTAGGCAGAATTGTAATGATTTAAGGACATTATTGAGGTTTAATTTGCAGCAGTTCCCATTGGTAAAACATGAACAAAAATTCCTACTCTCTTAACACTTAGTTTATGTTATAATTTGTGATAATCTAAGTGTACATTTAAAAAGAAGATGAATTTTAAGGCACAGTAGTAGTTTTTTAGTTAAAAAAAAAAGTTGCTTTGTTTTCATTTTTCCATACTTTGTTACATTGCTAATCCTGAATAATTTGACTCCTTGTTCTGTATCTGAGGCCATGTAAGTATAACTGCCATTCTTTCCTGTTTCTTTTGTGAGCTTCTCATGCTTATGAGTATCCTCTTTAGTTAGTTATTCCAGATGCTGAAGATAAACTGACATCTCAAAGTTGTGATAATTAACTCTGAAATTGTGATTGAGAATAGCAGCCGTGAAAGGATGTGCATCTCTACAACATCTGAAATAAGTGTATCTGCGTGGGTTCTAGAACACTATCTTAGTTCATTTAATGTTTATAGTATTTTCTTTTACTATAATGAGTTCATTTTTTAAAAGCCTTTGATGCTAATTCAGAGATCCATAATCTACTCACAATGTCTTTCACTTGTAGTTTTGATGATAACTGACAAGCTGTAAGTTAATTAGCACAGCACTTACTAATGAGGATGTTAAAATTTAATTTAAAAGTGTAGAATTTTATTTGTACACTCTGAACAAATTGAAGGAAATTCAATCATACATATGATAAGCATTCCAGGCACTCTTTCCCCCCCCCCCATCCAGGTGCTTTATTAGATAACAATAAGAAAATATAATTAACTTAAGGATAGCAAAGTTTTGAAAGTATGCTAAGATTGCTTGTCTTTAAAACTGGGGATAACCCAAAACCAAAGCAGTGAAATAAGGTCTGTTAATTAGCATGGAAGACAGCTTCTTGAATTAATATGTGGTGTTAATTAACAGGAAGTCTGATGTTGTGTTGTAATTACCACCAATATTTTTGACATACTGAATGACTGAAGGTGAATTATATAGATAGCAATTGAGTAAACACTTTTTTGCTTAGGAACATTTTCCTTTGTTTCTGTTTTCTAGAAATATGGACAGACTTCTTAGACTTGGAGGAGGTATGCCTGGACTGGGCCAGGTTAGTATACAGACTGTTTCTTAGTGTGTAAGTAACAAGCTTTTATGTCCTTATCCATAGAGAAAGAACCAACAGACCACCTCGTGGTAAGGGACAGCATACCTTATTTTTGGTGGTTGAATTGCAACATGAAGTAATATTGGAGACATTTTTTTTTTTCACCTAGTAAAAAGAACTTTTTTGTTGTTGTTTGGTTTAAAATGTTGGAATATGTGAGCTTATAAAGTTGCCTTTTCAAGTTAAAAAAAAACTTAAAACATGTTATATTTATAATATAAACTTTTAATGTTACACACAAAAATATAACATGACATACTTTTTAGTGGATACTTCTGGCTATCCATTTCCTTAATTAGTGAAAGGTATTAGATATCATTCTCTGCCTGCAACTTTAGTCTCTTAGCTCTTAGCTTTCCCTCATTTCTATATTACTGTTAGTATTTTGTCTTCTTTCATTCAAATTAAGCTGTATTTAGAGGAAGAAACATAGTTTTGAGACATTAAATGATTGTTTTGTGTGTTTCAAAATCACCGTGCAATCCTGTCATGGCTTGTCATTGATAAATACTTTTAGAAGGTACCACCTTTTTATGATTCTCCTTTATAGTATGCCAAAGCAGACTTAGTTTCCATTTATTTTTGTTAGTTTTGAATATTTCTCATGCTTCTTTATTATTCGCCAGTTTCATCATGAGACTTCATTTTCATTGTCTGTAGATTTACTTTCTGTCATGGAGATAATACAAATTTATGTGCAAATTATAAGGCATGGCCTTAGCAGAAATCTTAACTGAAGTTGAGTCATATGTGAATACCAGAATAACTTTTCCTTAATTATTTGACTTAAGTTGTTATTTATTCATATTATAAATCTGCTTTGAAAAATTGCTGTATATGAAATAATGGCCACAGATTGAGTTATTGTTTCACAGTCATCTCTGTACATATAGAATGTGGAAAACTCAGTGTTTGCTAAGTGATCTCTCCTTTGTTTCTGATGTTATTTGCTAGCCGCAGGTCCTCATTTTGTGTGTTTGTTGGAACTTTAATATGTGTTACTAAAGAACCTACTATTTCATGACTGTTTCATGTATTTCCTCTCCAGTGAGATGACAAGCTCTCAGAAGATAATGTAGAGGGGTTCTTTTTGTGGTGTCTCCTTTAAATACTAGGTGATCAATTCTTTTATTCCTCTCTTAAATTTAACTTTACTCTTGTTCATCTCCTGTTGGGAGTGTTACAGAACAGTTCAAAGTATAACCAGGAGTTGACATCAGACTACAAGTTACAGGCTTTGTCTTCAACAAAATTTCCATGACTTCAGAGGTATCTGCACTGCAGATATTTCCAGGTCAGCCATAGTTTGACCCACTAACTCTGGACTTGTAGTCTTCAGGGCCCTCTCCACTTTGATAATTTACTAGAAAAACTTACAGACCTGAAAGTACTATTCTTATAATTAGAGTTTTGTTATCAAGAGTATGGATCAAGACAGTCATCTAAAAGGGACATTTGACAACAAAATACAGTGCTCCTCAGTCTTCTGTAATCAGTATGTGTCACTGTTTGGCAAGTCAGTATGTTCACCGGCTAGGAAATTCCACATGCTTCATTGGGCCCTAAATAAAGGGTATGTATTAAAGTCTCAGTGCTTGTTGACCTAAACTGAGCCCAGTTTTCAGTTCTCTTCCTCCAAATGGGTCATCCTCAGAGTGCCCATATTTAAATCACATAGTGGATCTTGTTTGGTCTTTGAGTGGCTGGCTACCTGATGCCATGTGAGAGTCATAAATAGAATTAGTTACCAACACTCTTTAGGAAGTCTAAAAGAGTTTTGAGGCTTTGTGCTGAGGACTTAAAGACCAAATTATATAACCAGAATTTGTTTTCAGTAGTCATAACCTGATTATTTATATGGAAATAATTCAGTGTTTTTTCTGAATGTTTCTTGTGCTTTTATTTAGTGCTAGTTGTTTGTTTTATTGTGGTGTTGGGGATTGAACCCAGGGCCTCAGCTATGACATGTGTGCTTCCACTAAGTTATATCCCCTGTTGCGGTGCTGGAAGTTTTCTTATTCCCTGCCAAGAAAAAAAAAAAAAAAAAAAATTAGTATTAGGCTTAGAATCATCCATCACCTCTGGCTCTGTCTTAGGGTTTCCATTGCTATGAAGAGATACCATGACCATGACAGTTCTTATAAAGGAAAACATTTACTTGTGGTGGCTCACTTATAGTTCAGAGGTTCAGTCCATTATCATCCTGGCAGCAAGTAAGGCAGCATGCAGGCAGACATGGTGCTGGAGAAGGAGCTAAGAGTTCTTATATCTTGATCCCACAGGCAACAGAAAGTGATCTGTCTCACTGGGTGTTGCTTGACTTCAAAGCCTGCCTCCACAGTTACTCACTTAAAAAAAAAAAAAAAAAACAAAACACACACCTATTATACAAGGCCACACCTCCTAAGAGTGCCATTTGGGGAACCCATTTTCTTTCAAACCACCACAAGCTTTTATAGTCTTTCTGACTCCCCTTCTATATAGCTCCCTGATTCTTGAGGGGAGTAGTTTGATTAGGACTGAGTGCTCCAAAACCTCTCATTCTCTGTACATTGGCCAGTTACAGGTTTCTGTGTTAATTCCCATCTACTGCAAGAAGCTTCTCTGATGTGGGCTTAGTGCATTTATTTATGCATGTAGTAGCATGTTATTAGGAGTCATTTTATTGCTATGTTTCTTTAGCAAAATAATAATACTAGGTTTTCCTCTGGGTTTATGATCTGTATCTAGTTCCAGGTTCTTGGCCACTTTAGCATTGTTATGTATGAATTCTGTCTCCATGAACTGGTCCTTAAGTCCAAGCAATGAGTGGTTGGTTACTCTTGTAACACATATGCCACTATTGCACCAGTGTGTCTTGCAGGATGTTTGTTGTTGTAGATGTCAGGGTTGGTACCTGGGAGATATTGATGATTACCTTTCTCATCCAGTAGCATGCAGAGTACCTTCTAGTACCATGAATGCTAGTTGGTGGTGGGGTGAAACTTTTAGTTAGGCACCAAGTTCTCTGTCTTTAGTGATGTATGTATTGTCTTCAGTAGTAGGTCCTTACCTTTAGGTTGTAGAGAACAACCAGCGGCCTTGACAATAGCTTGTGATGTTTGGGGGTTTCCATGGCCCTGTTGACCAACACATCAAGATATAGTATGTTCCTGGCATTGGAAGTTTTACTTGATTGCATTAGATGGCTAGGTGGGACATTATTGCCCCTATTATTTGGTGACTCCATTAAGATTGTTCTCGTATAGGTGTATATTAGGAAGCTTCTACAGTAGTAGGTTTGCAAATGACCTATGGTGTTAGTTATCCCTCCCAAATGTCCCCTTTTCTCATACTCCCCTCCCTATTTAATCCTCCTATTCTAGTTTCCCCTTTGTCTTGCCATAACTATATTATTCTATATCCCCTTCCTTGGGAGATGCTGTCCTATCCCCTAGGCCTTTACTCATCTAACCTCTGTGGTTATTAAGGTTTTAATACAAATATTGAGAGCTAACATACCGCATATAAAAGAAAGCCTGCAATATTTGTCCTTTGGGGTCTGGGTTACTTCACCCAGGATGATTGTTTCTAGCTACAACCATTTACCTGCAAATTTCATATTCATTATCCATTCATTAGTTGCTGAACATCTATGCTGTTTCCAATTTCTGGCTTTTATGAATAGAGCAGCAGTGAACATGCATAAGCAAGTGTCTGTAATAGGATGTAAAGACCTTTGGTTGTGTAACCAAGACTGGTATAGCTGGATCTTGAGGTAGATCAAGTCTCAGCTTCCAGAGGAATCACTACACTGATTTCCATGTTAGCTGGACAAGTTTGCTCTCCTACTAGCAATGAATAAGTGTTCCCCTTTCCCTGCATTCTCACTGCCATGAGCTGTCATTTATTTTATTGATCTTGTCCGTTAATTTTCATTTCCCCGATGGCTAAGTATGTTGAACATTTTAAAAGTGTTGATTTTTCTGTTCTGTACCCCATTTTCAATTGAGTATTTTCTTGATGTTCATTTTTCTTTATATATTCTAGATGCTAACCCTCTTTCAGATACAGAATTGATGAAGATCTTTTCCCATTCTGTAGGCTGCTGCTTTGCTTGAATTTGGTGTCCTTTGTTGTAAAGCTTTTCAGCTTCATGGGGTCCCATTTATTAATTATTGTTCTTAGTGCCCATACTACTGTTCGTTTTCTTTTCCTGTGTCAATGAGTTCAGTACTCTTCTTCACATTCTATTCTAAAAATAATCAGCTTCAGGGAAACTGATCTTAAATTGAGTTCCTTGGTCTATTTGGAGTTGAGTTTTCTGCTGTGTGCGAGATACAGATACAGATTATTTGCATTCTTCTGCAGAACACCATCCAGTTTGACCAGGGCTATTTGCTGATGATGCTGTTCAGAAATAGATCCATGTATATATGAGAACTTGGTTTATAATATAAGTGCCATTGCTGGTGAAGCAGAAGGCCTAGTCAGTAAATGCTGTTGAATTAAGTGGGCTTTCAATATTTGGGACAATGAAAATTGGATCCCATCCTAATGTATGCACAAATACATCCTCATGTATTTACCAGGTAGGTTGAACCATCTGCATAGGGAATCAGACTTTATAGTTTTGGACCGTATACCTGTTTGGGTGGCTGTTATCATCCCGAACCAAAGTAGGCATTGTTAAGAATGGAGAAGTGGAACACTTGTACCTTGGCAGAGAGCTGAAATGGTGTAGCTGTTAGAAAAAGTAGTGTGCTAGGTTCTCCACTAGTGTGCTAGACTCTAACATTCTTAAATATCAGTATTTAAAGCAAATGTATATAGCAGCCAAAAAGATGGAAACAACCCAAATGTCCTCCAGAAAATGAGTAAATGGGATGTGGCATGTATTTATTTGCACCATGGAATATTATTCAGCCAGCTTGAAAGGAACGAACTTCTGGCATATGCTGTAA